GTGCAAATAGAAATTACAGAGTGGGTGGCAATGGAGACATTAGAGCCTTTGGTCCTGGGCTCCCAATGCACCATACCAGGAGTAATGGGAGGATGAAAGACAAAAGTGCTTACAATGTAGTTAGAGAAAAAAAGTATAAACACATGGAATGTCAAATGTTAACAATTGAGTCCTTCCTCCTTCCTTCCTTCCTTCCTTCCTTCCTTCCTTCCTTCCTTCCTTCCTTCCTTCCTTCGTATAGTAGCACTGGGGATTGAACCCCGAGATGCCCTACCACTGAGCTGCATCCACAGTTCCTTTTATTTATTTAGTCAGTTAATTAGTTAGTTGGGGGTAGCAGGGATTGAACTCAGGGGCACTTAACCACTGAGCCTCATCCCCAGCCCTATTTTGTATTTTATTCAGAAACAGTGTCTCATTGAGTTGTTCAGAGCCTCACTTTTGCTGAGGCTGGCTTTAAACTTGCAATCCTCCTGCCTCAGCCTCACGAGCTGTTGGGATTACAGGCAGGTGCTACCACACCCAACTCCATGAGTTCATTTTTAGTTCACAGCATATTCTTATATACTTCCCAGGCTGATTTGGAGCAAAGAGAAAATAAGTACCTTGTCCAAGGTTCATACAGTTAGACTTGAAAACTGAATCTATTTCTGTCCTGTGCCACTCTTAAGCTCTCCAACTGACCAATTTCCCATGATGTTGAGAGCAGCAGCATAGATGTAATTGAAGAGCTTAGAGAAAGGAGAGCACTTCTCTGTGCTGCACAGGAGGGTGAAGTGGGGTTGTAGAGCCAATGGGGACTTTCCTCCCTTCAGAGGATCATCGAGAGCATTCCAGTGGTGATAACCCCATGGACAAAGGCACAGAGAGGAAAAAGAAACTAATTTGTAGAAATCATGAGTATGTTTGGCAAGAAGTTTTGTTGAGAAGAATAGTGAGATCCAGAGGTGAAAGAAGGAGAAGCCTGAATCAGGAGTCTGGTATTCAGCTTTTATTCTGAAGAAAATTGCTACGATCTGAACATTTCTGTCCTCCCACCGTACTTCAGCTACACCCCCAACCCTTGTGTGATGAACCTTAAACCCCAAAGCGATAGCATTAGGTAGTGGGGTCTTTGGAGACATGATTAAGTCATGAGAGATTCGCCTTCATGGATGGAAGTACTGCCCTTAGGAAGGAGAATGAACAGAATGTGTTTGTCCAGTCTACCAAGTGATGACACGCAGAAGGCGCCATCTATCAATCGAGTAAGCACTCATCAGATGTGAATCTGCTGGCACTTTGATCCTGGACTTTTCAGTCTCCAGAATGATGTGCAATCTTTTTTTTTTTTGCTTATAAATAACCTGACCCAACGTATTTTGTTTCTGGAATCCCAAACAGTCTAAGTTGACAACTGAGCTGCCATTTTATGGTTTCAGGACTCCTCTTTTTAAAAGTTTAACTTGGGGAAGACTGGTCTGTTATGTGTGTACAGTTAGGGATGATAAGGAGCTGACCTCTGTGCTTTTTAAGTGAAACACCAGGGAAGGAACTGATTAGATTTATTTCTAACTGAGGTCTTGGTTATAATCAATGGGGTACAGGAGAGTGAGAATATATTGCAGAAGCTTATATGAATATGTGCCTGGAAAAGTGCTCAGATGAGGGAGGGAATGTTGGAGGACACAAAACTACCTGATTATTCCAACTCTAGACTTTTTAAATCCTTTAGGGGATATAAATTTATAACATTATCCATATGTCAGTCACTGAATGCTTCTACATTTTTTCCCCAAGGGGTTCCTGTTAATGACTTCTGGTTCAGAGTTCCAATGAGTGTGGTTTGAGAAATGAGAAGTTATTTATATACTGGTTATTGCCTAAGATGCATCTCTTTGTTAGTAATTGCTATTCCAGTCTTGGATTACCAACCTCAAAATTATTTATAAGCACATAGATACTCAAGTCAAGTTAATATTTTTGACTCAGGACTATAGGCGGCCAAGTTAAATTAATTTAGATGACACTGTAAAAACATTTTTGAAAGTAGGCAGTAGATCATAACTGACATCAATAGTATATTTGTATTATGCATATTATGTATTTGTGTGTGAATTCCTTATATTCAATTCAATTTCACAAAACTCAGCAACAGTTATTACCTTATACCCGTTTTAGGGAGAACATAGTGAATAGCAAACAGTAGAAAGTACTTTGCTAACATTTTTCAAAGTATTTGCTAACAGAGCAAAATGAATGTATTGCCATCAGAATGAGTGGTTTGCACTTGCCTTAACTTTACTGTGACTTTGTCAGCAAAATGCACAGTGGTAATAAGTGGAATTGCTGTTGGTTCTTTGCAGACTTATCTTTTATCACACCTTCAGAAGACAGGTTTTAAATAGCAGTTCACGCCATCTAAAATAATAGTTTGCAACAAATTTAATCAGGAATCTGGAAGGCTTTGTCTTTTTCAAACACAATATTGACCTCATTTTCAAGTGAATAAAGGATCAAGACTTATTTATTTATTTATTTGTTGCACACAAGAAGGAGGACAAGCCATCCTGTCTCCTAAGAAAGTGTCTGATGGTGAAACTCTCCCTCCCTATGAAAACTATCTTATTTTATGTTTTAGCAAAATTCAGGGGTGTATTTATTCCCAGCCATGTTATATTGGTTCCAGATTCTGTGCCATATGAATAGGGTATCATGTGCTACTTAAATATGCAATTGTATACTATTTAAATCAAATAAAATATATCTCATCAGTCATCATTTCTTTATGATGAAAACACTCAAAATCCTTTCTTCTAGGTTTTTGAAATCATACGTAGACTATGGATAGAGAACATCTCTATAGTCATCTGATGGTGCAACAGTAGTTTTGCTCGTCTTTTTGTTGGTGGTGGTTTGTTTTTTGCAGATTGAATCTAGAGCCTCATGCATGCTAGTGACTGTACCCAGGTACAGTCTCAGACCTCTTTTGTTAGCTTTTAAAGACAGAGAAGAAAAACCTCTTTTCTTCCCAAGTCCAGAAATCCCATGACTCAATGTTGCAATGACCTGTTAGGAATCATTTAAACAGTTATAAAAACTGAACAGAGAAATAGAAAGCAAGACCTCCTTCAGGAGATGCTATCATGTCCAAGCGATTTGGAAATGACTGTGCTTTGAAGAAAGCATATGCTAGTGTTCTCTGGACCCCAGCATATAAAGCGTTTTTGTGGTCATGATTTGCCATCTTCAGCTCGTGACACATGACATTTATGGGGAAAGGAACTCCTTTTCTCCTGCCCTCAATATCTGCACTGTCATTACTCATTCCCTGAAGTGGTTTGGTCAGTTGTACTGATGTGCTTCAGAAAAAAAGAAGGACCCTTACATCATGGTTTAGAGAGGACAGGGGTGAGCAGGTCTCTTGCTCTTGGTTTCAGAAAAGCTTCACAGAAGGGCTTTCATGGGATTTTATTAGGAAGGCAGATATGGTCTGATGAAGAAGGTTTAAGATAAAGGAAGGTAAAGTGTAGTAAACACAAGGAAGTCTGTGGGAGACCTAAAAAGAGTGAGGAGAGCTCTAGGTGAACCAAACTGTGAAAAGATGGAGCAGATATAGGAATCTAGGAGCTTAGGAATCTAGCCCTAAATGGTCAGAAAGAGGCTCCAAGGTCTCAACCATGACACTGTTTTTGCTTTAGGATGCCTGAAATCACAAAGTAATTTCTAATGCCTGGCTAGTGGCATCCAGCATGAATAAATTAACAGAACTGTAACGATTACCTCTGTGTTTGTCATCAACAACTACAGTTAACGGCCACATGGCTAACTGAGTGGTTCCCTTACTGCTCTGGCATTTGTCCCCTGATATTTGTAAACAGTGGCCACACTGCCACTTCATCGCCATCTGATCAAGCTGCATGGGGCTCACTCTTGCTCTTCTAATCCATTCCTCCAGCCGGTGAAATCATTTCCCTCGTGCTCTGTTCCTCCAGCCAATTTGTTCATTTCTGGGAAAACTGGCACCACATTATTCTAACTGCAGACTCACAGTTGTATTTACAATTAATATTTATTGAGTGCTAACTGGGTGCCTGGCCTTGCTTTAGGCACTGAAAAGGGCCCCAGTTACCATTGATTTATGTAGGTGCACCTTGGTGTCCTGGCAGTGCTGTGTTCTCCTACTGTCTCAGATTCCTCTGGTGTAACTTCTCTCTCTTTTGATACTTTTATTTGTAATTGATACACAGTAATTGTACATATACTTACAGGGCCCAGTGTGACATTTCTCTTATCTCTTTCTTGATGGTAAAATACAGAGTTCCAATACTAGGAATTAAGACATTCTTTCTCTTACTCCAATTTTTCCCACTCAAATGTTATTTTTATTATAGCGAGTTAGATAACTGTATTGGCTTTAAGAAGTTTCCATAAATGATAGCATTTCCCAGTAAATGGATGGTACTGAAGAATATTATGCTAAATATAATAAGCCAATCCCAAAGAATTAAATGCTGAATGTTTTCTCTGATGTACAGATGCTAATTCACAATAGGTGCAGGATGGTTTGGGAAGAATAGAGGTACTTTGGATTTGACAGAGGGGGTGAAGGAAGGAGAGGGGATGTGGAGGTAGGAAGGATAATAGAATGAATCAAACATTATGACCCTAGGTGCATATATGACCACACAACTGGCATAATCCTACATCATGTACAACCAGAAGAATGAGAAGTTATCCTCCATTTATGTATGATGTGTCAAAATGGATTCTATTGGCATGTATAACTAATTAGAATTTTTTTTAAAAAAGTTGTTCCCATAGACTTCCACTGTATAAATATGACATGTTTTCAAAAAAAAGTTATTTGAACCTGAAAATTTCAAAACCAAAGAAGTAACTACTTTGGCCCTACCTTCTTGCCTATACAGATGGAGAAGTTTGATGAGGAAATACATTGACTGGGTTTGTCTGACTCAGTTTTTCCCATGATGGCTGATAATAGACTGACCAGGGACAAGTTTAAGCAAATACAACTTTATTTATTCACCTTGGAATAAGGATATAGACACCCATACAGAACAGCATCCCCTTTGATCGTTTGTTCCCCACCCATTCCAGGGAAGTAACTTGAGTGTTCTTCCATGGCAGACATATCCTTTTAAACATTATCAAATACATCATTAACACTTCTATAAAAAAAATGGTGTTCAAA